GAGCTGGGAAAATAAAATTTACTTCAGGAATTGGAGCTGGATGACATGGCCAGCCCAGCAAAGTTGATGTCAGATGATCATCACACCTCAGTGCTCATGCTGTCTGCTTGTGAGAAGATGCTAATGTTGGCATGTTTGTCTACCCACTGGATCTGAAGGATCCTTCTGCAGCAGCACTGATGGTACTCCTCCAGTGCATTCAGGTGTCTTCTGTACATTGTCCACATCTCAGATCTGCACAATAAGGTGGGGATCACAACTGTTTGATAAATCATGAGCTTGATTTTGCGTCTAAAGTTGCGATCTTTGAACATCAATTTTCTCATGCTTCCAAAGGTTGCACTTGCATTTTAAAATGGTGTTGGATTTCTTCGTCAATGTCAGTCTTCTGTGAGAAGAGAGTTCCCTAGAGTCTCACCATAAATCTGAATTACCAGAACTGCTCATTAAGAGCTTATTGATGGAAGACCTTAGTCTTCTGAATGTTGTCAGTCCCATTTTCTTGTTTGCCTCGGTAAAGACATTGACAATTGCCTGAAGGTCTGCTTTTGAGTGAGCACACACTACAGCATCATCAGCATACTTCATCTCCAGGATTGAGGTCAGGGTGGTCTTGACCCAAAGTCAGCTAAGATTAATGACAAACACCAAGCAAAAGAAACTGAATTGCTAAGAAGTCAAGGCAGAAGTCTGAAGGAGGACCTGTGATATGAAGAACTGTTGGTTAGAAGACAAGGCGATTTGACATCTCACTGAAATCCACAATATGCATGGTTTTTTCAGTGCCAAAGCCATCTACAGTATGAGCACTCAGACACTAACCCTCTTGAGACCTAAGGATGGAGAAGACCTGATCAAGGAAATGGGAGCCATCAACACCCATTGGAAAGAGAATTTTGAAGACCTTTTCAATTGAGACTAATTTGTTGATGAGAGTGTTCTCAATTCCATCATGCAATATCCAGTCAGAGATGATCTCCGAATTCCTCCAACCCTTGACACAGTGAAGTAAGTTATCAAGCAAATGAAGAATGACCATGCATCTGGAGCTGATGGAATCCCAGCTGATATCTGCAAGCGGGGGCGGGGGGGGGGGG